TGTATGGAGATCCGGAAATTTTCTTCGTTGGAACGCTGTTGTGTTCCACTCACCCGGAAGTTCAATGTCTCTCTCCGGCATAGTCCATAACATCATCAAGTCTGGAATGCATGAATGCGTTCCAGCATTCCCCGATATCCTGGAAGAGGTTATCAGGGGAAAATATGTGTACGAACAAAGAAATGACAATCAGAGAACCTCCCAATATCGGTTCAAAATCATTTTGCTATAGTGACAGTATATTTGTACATATTGATCAATGCACTTAGTGCAATATAAGAATAAAAGAAACATAAAGAATGTATGTACAATAAATCACCTATTACATTACCCCACCAAATGTGTTCAATGATACCACATTTAGACACCATGCATAACTCAGTCGGACGTCTGGGAGGGCATCTGGATACACCATATGTGAAGTAACAATAACTTCAAAAAATTTAAGAAATAAAAAATGTGGAAAAACCATAAAAATAAAAATAAGAAATAAAAAAGAAATATTAAAAAATTTACTTTTTTTTTTAAATGACAAGTCTGAACATGAAAAGGAGTAAAAAAAAATAAACTGTAATAAGAAAAATGTTAATAATTAGAATAAGGAAAAAATATAAATGGTAATAATACATAGAAAAAAAATAAAAATAAAAAAATGAAAAAGTCTACTAAAAAACAAACTAAATCAAAATCCACATTCAGTCCAAGGGGCTGAAGTGTTCTGAGTTTATGTATCCAGAAAACCTCTATACCCCCTAACAGCAGTGTCCAGTGAAGCATGATTTCAGTGGGCGGGGCAAAAGGGTTGGCCGCTGATATGAATCATGTAACCAGAACTGGCCAAAGGGACAAACATGCCCAAAAAGGGCATGTCTGCACAGGGTATTAGATTGACAGCCTGGTGTGAATGCATGTCAGGCTGTCTGCCAATCATGCAGCATGACCAACCAAGGGCATACTGTGCAGACAGCATCCTGAGCCTTGCATAAATGCATCTAATGATGCACTAGCTCTACGCTTTCTAAGGACTCTCCCCTAGCACTTACTGGTCCACTCCCCTCCTAATCTTCTTACTAACAGGCATAAACTCCTGTTATACAGTCTGAGACATACTTGTGTGATCTCCATCTCCCTTCGAATCCTGTAATTCCCCATGTTGGCAGCTTCAAGGAAAGACAGAAGAGCACAAATAGCAGTGGGGATAATGGGCACCCCTGCCTTGTATTATTTTGGATGGTGACTGGCTGAGCCAGGGCCCCATTTACCCTGATTCAGACTGTGGTGGTGGTGTTTAGGGAAATTCTGGAAGAGTTCTCAATTGCATACCGATCCTCATATTTTCTAATGTTGCCATTATATATTCCCAATCCCCTAATAAAATGCCTTCTTGGCGTTCATTCTTGACGACCCTGGTCATGTTATCCATTGCTTCCCTACCAGGAACAAAACCTAATTGTTCTATAACAACTAGGCAAGGGACTACTTGTCGCAGCCTCATGGCTAAAATCTTGGCAAACAATTTCAAATCTGCTTTGAGCAGAGAGATGGGTCTATAACTCCTGGACAAACTTGGGTTTTCTATCTTTGTGGATAATTGTTATCTCTTTAAAGGGACACTATAGACACCTGAACAACTACAGCTTAATGTAGTTGTTCAGGTGAGATCTATAGCTCCCTGCAGGCACTCTAATGTAAACACTGTATTTTCAAAGAAAATACAGTGTTTACATTGATTGATAGGAATACCTCCAGGGGCCATCACTCAGACGGCCACCAGAGGGACTTCTTATCATGTATGGGCCTAAAAAGGCCATGTACACGTCAGACGTATAAAAATACGTCTGACGTGTGCAGGAAAGAGAAGGCACTGTGTGCGCGCCTTCTCTCTCCTGCCTGTCAACAGAGGAGAGGGGGCGGCCAAAGACCGCGAGCTGAGCTGTCAGTCAGCTCAGCTCGCGGCCACGAGCATGCGCGGTAGTGCGCTCAGGACTTCATAGGGCGGCCTGAATGCCGCCCTATGAAGTATGTGCGCATGTGCGGTGAAGCCGCGCATGAGCACAAGGGAGCAATGACGCTTCCAAATGGAAGCGTCTGATTGCTCCCTGCTCGTGCCTGCCTATTTCGTCAAGGCTCCCGGCGCTGGAACCAGGTGAGTAAAAAGGGCTGCCTGGAGAGTCCCTTTGACATATAAGGGTACAGGATTTATATGAATGTCTTGTAATAACAAAGGGGCATTCCATACAGGCCCAGGGTCTTGTTAGTTTCAGAAGTCTTAACTTCTGCTTTCATCTCCTCCTCAATTATGCCCCCATCTAGGCCAGCCATTTGGTCTTCGTCTAGGGCTCAAGATGCATATCTGTATTTTCCCCTGCTGAGTTTCTACTTATGTGTCTGTGAGTGTACCCTGCAAATTGTATAGAGATGCATACTATGCCTGGAACTTTGAGGCAATCACCTCAGGGCAGAGTGTCATGCTTTGTTACCTTGTTTCTTTGGTGTAAATTAGACAGTCTCTGCTTCCTTTGGAGAATTCTCGCTGAGAGTTGGCCAATACTTATTGTAATGCTCATAAAAGAAGCAGGTGGATGTTTCAGGCTTAAAAGGGTGTTTTTTGGCACCTTGCGGTCACTAATTCTTTATAGTCTTTGCCTGCTAGAGTCATCATATGTGTTGTTTGAAGTGTTGCTATTCATGACTTCTATTCAAGAATCTGTCTGTTCCTCTGTTGTTTCAGATGTGTGCCTGTCACAAAATGGACTCTAATAATACAATTATGTGCTTCCCAAACTGTTAGGTGGAATGTGTCTGCCATGACATTTTCTGAAAAAATAGCAGCCGAGTATATCTTGCTGCTGTCATAACTTCTACATCCTATAGGATCTACTCATTGAGCTGCCAATGTCTATGGACCTAGCTAAGGGGAATGCTATGTTGGCAATGACGGGCATGTGGTCTGACTGGTCTATCATATCAAGTAAATTTTTCGGAAATTGGTTTCCCCCACAAAATTTACAGGAGTAGAGACATGCACACATGTATGTTTGGGAGACAATAGAACCCTTAAAAAGAGTAATCTACCAGTGTCATCTACCAATTTGCTTGCAAGTTAAAAAGGTGTATGTTTAGAAAGTATAATGACTACCCCACCTGACTTTGCTAATAGGTTGTGGGCCTGGTAACCCAGAGGGTAGTATTCTGTTGTGTCGGGATTTATCTGCTCGAAAATATGTCTGTTGGAGAATTGCTATTGAGATTTCACAACCCCAAAGTTCCTTCAGAACCTGGATCTACGCTCTGGGGAAATTAATCTCCGCACATTATGTGTGCAAATTATCATTACAGCAGGAGCATAGGCTTTGGGTGCACAGTGTTGTACAGCTGGCGGAGGCCTCAGGAGACCACAGGAGGCAGAAGGTAAAGGGGAAAGGTGAAAGGGGGAGTGCAGGGATAAAAAGAGAAAAGTTGGGAACATAAAGGTTGTAGGAAGACTAGATCCTAAGATGAAAATGAAACAACAAACACACCACCCTTCTATTTACAAGGTGAGAGGGGAAAGCATTAGTTTAATTTACAAAACAAAAAAGGGAAAAAGGTGGCGCTAATTAACAAAACTGCTATTAGTGCAGCATGCAGCAAAAACACCTAAGTGTACAGTCACTAATTTACACTTACACATACAAATAGCAAAACGAAAGAAAAGGTGATTGCGCAATTTTGGTATAACTCCAGGGTTATGTAGTGTCAGGGTATTTATATCGGCAGACATTTTGTGCTATGATAGAAACTAAAAGTGTATATTCTGAGTCACTCTGAACAGACCAGACTCCATTTTGTTATTTCAAGTTAACAAAAAGACACTATATTTCTATCTGTAAGCTTACCACTTTCCCAGATCTGAGGAATGCATAGTATATACAAACAAGTGATAAGGAAGGGGGTTGGATAGACTGTCTAAAATGCTAATGGAATATAATCAAATCTAAACCCAGACAATTGTGACAGAGAAGATTAAATAATTTAATTTTACTGTCTATACATATAAGGTACCATTGTATGGAAAAGGGTAAACTTAGTTCATGATCTGCCATATCAGAAATTATAGCAGATTTACCAGACACATAGTCTGTACAAAATTTAAGAAACCCTTTGAAATTTTAAATTATGGCGCTATAAAGATAACGCAAAATGACGTCAAAATAGCCACCAGGAAAAGTTAACTCTTTCCTGGATAGGTATGTTTAGTGGGACAAGACTGCCCTCTACAGACCAAATAACTAATTTGCGATCTGGAAGATAACCACACCTCTAGTGCTTCTATTGGGTTATCAACTGATGACGTACAGAGAGTCTGGCCCTTTAAAAGTTAAGACAAAGGGGGATACAAGAGACAAGATACAGGAGAGGAGGCAGATGCAAGATATGCAAAAGAGAAAAGAGAGGAATTGGAAGTTTGGGGATTCCAACTCGGACAACATCTGAGACTAACATTCTACTCCTAAAACTCTAACACTTAGAATTTACTGACTTTCTAACCAACACCTCCATGCAGAGAGACTACCAATCGGATGAAATATCTACTCAACTGGTAATTATACTGGTTTCATTTAATTAAATTAAATTAATTAAAATGTATTAATAGCATTATATATGACTGGATAAAGCACGGTCAGATTTCCATATTAAGAAATCTTAGTTAACTAAGAATATATAGTTATAAACATTCCATTCTGCAGGTGGAATTAAGAATAATTATATATTGATGTGATATTATCACGTGTTAGCATACCGCTGTTTTTATCCAGGTGTATTGATTTGCTCTAAATTAAGATACCGTATATACTCGAGTATAAGCCGACCCGAATATAAGCCGAGGCCCCTAATTTTACCCCAAAAAACTGGGAAAACGTATTGACTCGAGTATAAGACTAGGGTGGGAAATGCAGCAGCTACTGGTAAATTTCTAAATAAAATTAGATCCTTAAAAAATTATATTAATTGAATATTTATTTACAGTGTGTGTATATGATGAATGCAGTGTGTGTGTATGAATGCAGTGTGTGTGTATGAGTGCGGTGTTTGTGTATGAGTGCGGTGTGTGTATGAGTGCGGTGTGTGTATGAATGCAGTGTGTGTATGAATGCAGTGTGTGTATGAATGCAGTGTGTGTATAAGTGCAGTGTGTATATGAGTGCAGAGTGTGTGTGCATAAATGCAGTGTGTGTATGAGTGCAGTGTGTGTATGAGTGCTGTGTGTATGAATGCAGGGTGTGTGTATGAATGCAGTGTGTGTGTATGAGTGCAGTGTGTGTTTGTGTGGCAGAGCCTTGGTGGGGGGGTGGGCATTTTTATAAAAAAATTTTTTTATATTATTTTAATTTTTTTTTGTTATATTATTTTTTTTATTATTATTTATATATTATTATTTAAATTTTTTGTTACATTTTTTTAAATTATTATTATTATTATTTATATATTATTAATATTATTAAAAAAATTTGTTATATTATTTTTTTTTATTATTATTATTATTTATATATTTTTAATTTATTTATTTTTCGTCCCCCCTCCCTGCTTGATACATGGCAGGGAGGGGGGCTCTCCGTCCCTGGTGGTCCAGTGGCATTGGCAGTTCAGTGGGGGGAGGAAGGGGGCTGGCAGAGCTGTTACTTACCTCTCCTGCAGCTCCTGTCAGCTCTCTCCTCCTCCGCGCCGGTCCGTGCAGCACCTCTGTCAGCTCACACTGTAAGTCTCGCGAGAGCCGCACTATGACCCCGCGGCTCTCGCGAGACTTACACTGGGAGCTGACCGAGGTGCTGCACGGACCGGCGCGGAGGAGGAGGGAGCTGACAGGAGCTGCAGGAGAGGTAAGTAACAGCTCTGCCAGCCCCCAGTCTGTATTATGGCAATGTAAATTGCCACAATACAGACTGACTCGAGTATAAGCCGAGTTGGGGTTTTTCAGCACAAAAAATGTGCCGAAAAACTCGGCTTATACTCGAGTATATACGGTAGATATCTTTTAGACAAATTAAAAATCTGCTTATATAATGTGGTAAATTCTCTTATGGATGGTTTAGGAAAATGGCTAATGAACTGGTTTAAATGTTATTTTATTTAAAAATACATAAGAATAGATCTTAACTACCTAGGAGATCTAGCCAGCATTGAAAGGGTTATTCTAACTGTCTGCTAAACTTTACGACCTTATGCTGCACTCTGAGGAATTCTGTTCTTCGCTGTGAAATGTTTCACTTTCAGCCTGTGTTAAGGATACCTCATAAATCGTAGAAGTCTTGACAGATAATGAGTTAATAGCCATTGAAACGTAATACCCATTTCTGTGTATTTCATATAATTTTGTACTGGATATTCATTGATTATTATCACGCATGTTACATAACATTATTTGTTAATTATTGATTGTCATATAAATAAAATCTATTTTTATACATTGTGATTATTTATATGAAATACATTCCACTTAACACGATAAACGTTCTTTGGGATCTGAGAATTGAAATAGTGGGCAATTCTCAACTGTTACTATTATTATCCCATAAATATCCCCATATATTGGAGGCACGGTGCTGAGATCGTTTAAGTTGAAATTGTATTTCATATATAATAATAATATTGGTGTAATTCATGCAATTTAATCTTAATATAGAAAAGAGTTTTGTATTGAGATTAATCAATAAAATAAAAATAAAAATGGCCAGTGGCAGTGATAAATCTGTAACAGATAATACTGAAATAATTGAAGACCTAAGAAAACATGCTCTAGTTCATATTCATAAACATATGAAAAATGATGCAACCTATGAGGTTTGGTTGAAAAGCATAGAATGGGAAGCTAAACACACCATTCTAACTGATGAACACATCATCATATATCTTAAAGAAATTGCTGAACAAAAGAACATAGAAAGGAAAATGGCGTTCATAATACACTCTTGGCCTTTCTTTATGACAGCACTTCTTAAGGTGTGTGATGAAAACAAGTCACTAAATGCCAAATTGGACACGTACAGTGACGATTTGGGCATTCAAAATGGGAAATACCAAGATTTACTTGCTGAGCATAAAACTCGTCAGGCTGATCATGAAAAAGAAATGAAAGCTTTGATGGATAAATATGCACAGGAAATAAATCAGCTTAAAATGCAATTGGATGAGTATGAAAAGGAGAGTCAGAAATTAGACAGTGAGGTTGGTAGTCATCATTCTGTGCCAAAAAGTTGCACAAAAATGCAAGAAAAGACTATCTGTAAATCCCCTCCTTATTATGATTTTCCCACACCAAACCAGGTTTTCATAAAACAGTCTGTAAGTAAAGGTGTGAGTAATTCTAAAAAATCACCTATGGAAAAAGATTCCCCATCTCATGACATTACCAAGCCACCTTGGCAATCTTGGGCAGAACAGTTTGAAAAAGCTGTCTTGGCCAAACTTGAGAGGGAGAGTCCAATTCAAGATGATAGGAATGAAAACAGACATGGTTCTGTACACTGGCAGGATTCTGATGCTGATCAGAATTGTGACAGTGAACAAGAAGCTCAGAGTGATGGGAGTGAAAGTGATTGCACTGTCCACTCTGAAGGCCATGTAACTGATATGCCATCTGCACTGTTGTACGGGTCTAATTCCTCTTCAGCAGACAGATCGCATAGACGTTTACTCAAACACAGAAACAGAGGTCCTAAATCAACGACGCCTGTTTATGAAACGCCAAAGGTCATCAAATTCCTTAGAGAGACTGTCCCACAATTTTCTAGAGGTTCAGGAAACATATCTGAACATCTGGAAAATTATGATAGAGCAATGAATTCATTGGGCATGTATGATGACATTCATAAGAAATGGTTCATTACATGGACCTTTGATTCAATGTGCCGTGTTTATCTAGAAAGTCTTCAAGCTATACAGTTAATGTCCTGGTCCAAGATGAAATATGAAATAATCATGGAATATGGTAAGTATAAAACTATTGCCTCTGCAAAGAAGGCGCTTTATAACTTAAAGTGCCGTCCAGATCAAAGCCCCAGAGAATTTTTAATAATTCTTAAAAATGCATACTCCGTGGCCCAAAGAAAACCCAGGTATGAAAGCACAGACTTCAAAGATCTGTATTTTCATGCCATGCCAGTAAACATACAAATGAATCTCGCAAGAGATTACGATTGTAAGTTACCATTAGAATGGCTAGTCAGTCAGTGCATGAAATTGTACACTATACACCATGCACATGACGAAAATCAGCCAAAGGTTAAGAAACCTGGTGATAAAATGGTGTCAGAGACTAAAATTCAGTTAGGTTTAGAACCCCAACAGAAAAGGAGGACCTATTCTGAGGTTTTGAAATCTCCAAAACCTCAGAAACAGGAAAATGCTAGAAGCAATTCTGCAAATTCCTCTAATAACTCTGAAAAATCCAATACCAATGGGAATAAACGCCCCTGGGTTAATAAGAACCAAGGCAATTCCCAATGGAGAAGGAATCCTCAGGGAAATAGGAGATATGGAAACAGAAACAACCAATCTGCTTCCAATAACTCCCAACAGTCTCAGCCATCCCAGCCAAATTCTAATGGGCAAAGACAAAACGGCAATGGGGGAAATAATTTGCGTCGTCAGGTTGGTCAATTGACAGACCAGATGGGCAAATTAATGGAGGAAATGACAAAGATCAACCAAGTCTTTGCTCTCAATCCTTTTTTAGGGATAGCTCCAATTGCAGAACTACCTGTGCAACCGCAGCAACAACAACAGGTGCGCAGCAATAATAGCCACTGTGACTAAACAGGCTAGGTTATCAGTAGATGTAATGCCTAACCCTGTTTCCTTTCCAGGTACTAACAGTCAAACAAACAATAGTTGTGTTAGAAAACCTATTGCCTATACCGTCACTTCACTTCCGGGTGAAGGAGGCGCGACGTGTTCCTCTGTTTTTTCATTTCAGCCAAAGGCTAAAATAGCCCCAGCAGCCACAAGTTTCCAGGATCCAGACCTGAAAGGGTTAACTGATGAGATGCCGACCACTAGTTCCCGCTTGACAGTTCAAGATATTCCTAAGAAGGATGGGCCTGTGGGTAAGACTGAGCATTCCTCAGTACAGGTAGAAACTACTGCTGTGACCGGTAATGTATGGAAAACAAGTGATATGTTGACACATTCTAAATTCTTATGTGAATTAGAAGAACATGAAGGAAGGTATTACATGTCTGTAGAAATACAAGATTCGCTACCCCAGCCTTTTAAAGGGTTAATAGATACTGGTTCACAAGCCACTATCTTATCCAATACCTACTTCCAGCAGGTAATGGACTTAGCAATGGATAAGCCGAAGCTAAGAGGTTTCCCCAATGCTCTGTTGAGTGTAGGAGGAAATGCCCTTCATGTTATTGGCAATACATGGTTAAAGTTTAAAATAGGTAACAAAACCTTTAGACACCCGGTGATAGTGGTAGATCTCCCCTATGACCGACTGATTCTGGGTATAGACATACTCAGAAGACTTAACACAATTATTGACTGTGTGAATGGAATTGTATGGTCACAAGCTAAAGTTCCCATAACCTATGAGAAATCACATGTACAATCTGATCATAACTGCCATGTGATAGAAGAGAGACCTGACTCGATAGAGGTTCATTTTCGGAATAGTCAGTCACCTGACGTGACTGTCCTGCAGATGAATGATGCAATCGCACCTGTAGATGAGCATTCCGTAAGAATTGCTCCAGAGAGGATCCAGAATGTCTCTCTGGAAGGTGATGTTTTAACCATTTCTCACCACAGGGACTATGTTGAATCTGTAGATCTGGCAGGTCATGCTCAATTCCTTGCCAGAATTGAAAGGGTTAATAACAACTTATTCTTTCCTATTCAAATACATGACTTAGGAAGAAGTAGGAATGCAAAGCTGGACTTACAGAGTGAGAACAGCTATATTAGCAGAAGTCTGTTAAAACAGATCGCTAATCCTAAAATGATCAGGTACGCTTCCCCACATGACAGGTGGATCCAGAACCTGGATGGCGAATCAGAGAGTCACAATGTGATAGCAAAGTGTTTACTATCTATTTCCATCGGAAATAAGACAGTTAAACATTTATTCCTAGTGATAGACGAACCTCGCTATCAGGTTTACGTTGGCAATGATGTCATACATCGTTTTGCCATACACCTTGACCTGATTAATTCCAATTTGTGGACAAGGTTAAAAGGTAATCCTTGTGGATACCTACATGAGGAAAACGCCCTGAAATCAGGACAAATACTACCATATGCGGTAAGTATCCAAGTTCCTGATGACATAACCATTCCACAGGGGACAAGTAATTTTCTTTTACCCCTACAGGTCAAGGAGGGT